TTAATGCATCTCTTCAATAAATCTTGACACTGCTCAGATGACAAGCTTCTTTTTATTTCTTGTTTGAAATCATTTTGAGGCATGAAATATTAGCATGACATAAATTACAGATAGCAAACGTTATAATGCTATGAACATTTATGGGTAGGATTGGGTTGCAATCCAATGTGATTACATATTATGGTTGTTGGGGACTGAACCCCATGTCACGTCAATTTTTCATCATCACATCATCTTCCTTAGGTATATGAGTGCACGCAAGCACGTTATGTGATGGAGAAATAATTTCCATGAACGTGATCAGATATGAAATGTTTGCAGCTGTTCCATTGCATGCTTTGAAGTCCAGGCTTAATAACTTGCTGTATGAGTCCAGTTATATCAAAGGTGTCATATAGGCTAGTTCTTCCCTTGAAAGCTGATGATAACTATAGCACTCTACTTTTTTGCCTAGATATGCCAGGGACCTGCAATGAAATTGTCAGAGACAGGTACCTAAGAGGGAGGCATGGAAAGAGGGGCGTCTTATGTCCCATTGCCATTAATATTTAGAATAAGGACATTGTATGGCTGCTCCTGGTATTGAAAAGATCATGCTGGAGTATGTTACTCAGGCATAAATAAAGGTGAGCTGTGCACTAGGCATTGTCTAAAGTTACAAAAAAGTTGCCTTTCCTCTATTGCCAGCAAATTGCAACTTATACCCTTTGAAAATTATGAAATCTGCATTTCAAGCAAGACATGAGCAGAGTGGTAGCTTTTTATGCAGCAGGTTCAAAATCAATTTCCCTAACCTGCACATGGCTATTGAATGCCTTTCAAAGGTCGGAGTAAGTTGTAACAAACGACAGGTTTTGATCTCTTCAGGTACTTAGATGACCTGATGCAAGATTGAAAGTGATCGTATTGGATTCCTGTGGGATAAGCAATCCGGAAACATGCATGACATGACTAGCATACTGCGTGTCATGTTGGCCTCGCATGGTCTCATCTTGACATCCTACCTACATCTGGACTATGTAATCACCAGAAAAAAAAACTGTAGCTGACGTTTAAGCTGCATAACGCAATCAAAATGGACGGGAAAATATTTTGAATCATCCATCGCATGAATACAACAAATTATCACGCTAACCTATGGAGTGACCTTGGCCTGACTCCATTGTGGCATCTACATGTTCGTGACACAGCATCCTCATTTAGCCAAAGAGCATATAGTTTTTGAGGAAATGAAATACCTGCTAATAAACCTTGCTGTTGATATTATGGCCTCTTCGGAGGAGAAATAGTCTTGTTATGATCCAACCAAAGATATTTGACGGCTTCCAGGCTTAGAACCGTTTCAAAAAGCCAAACAACTGCGGTAGGCGTGTATCCGCTGTTGACCATTGCGTGCCGATTATACTTATGACGTCATGAACCGAAGCAGCGGAATTTGGCCGGACGGTTATACCTTCTGTTTTAGGGCCTTGCCCGGCGCCGAGCGCTCATGCGCTCCGGCAGGTATCAACAAGTCGCCGGCCGGCCTACGCCGTGTGAGTCCAGGGCCCTAGAACAGAAGGTATAACCGTCCGGCCAAATTTCGCTGTTTCGACTGATGACGTCACAAATGAACTCGGCACGTAATGGTCAGCGGCGGATCCATGCTTACCGCAGTTTTCTTGGCTTTTTGAAAAGGTTCTAAGGGTGGAAGCCGTTAAATATTTTTGGTTAGATCAAAACAAGACTATTCCTTCTCCCAACAGGCCATAATATGAGCTCCAAGGTCTATTAACACGCGTCCACGTGGCCGGCTAGATACCTATTCGCTCTGGTGGGTGGTCAATTTGACCCTCCCTGAGATCTCGGTAACTAAGAAAGCTAGAGACACAAAATCTACAGGGTGTGTTGACCTGTACGTGAACTCAGTGAGATCAAATTTAAGGTTCCTAGTTCATGACCTTCAGGTCAAACAAGGTCAAACAAAGTCAAATTCCAGTTTGTCTCCAAAGTGCCCCCAGAACCTGGGCAACTGTTTCTAAGCAAAAGGTCACACGCCCATTTGCGGTCAGTGACCTTGTTTGACCATCTGAAGGTCATGCTGACTATTATCATAGAAGACTGCTCTGAATTTTGCATTTAAATAAGTGACAAACATTACGCTTGGCAGTATGTTCCTAAAACAAAATGTCAAACCGGGTCATCTTAGATCAATGACCTGTTCTGACCTCTAAGAAGTCAATGGAAGATGTACAATGCGGTTCCTGCAGTCAATAAATTCGAAATGAGCACTAAAAACCATCTCATACAGTAAGCCTTAGAGTAATAACTCAGGCTTGTTTTGACTTAAGTCCGACCTTCATACCTGACCTTAAGTCAACGTAATTTGCTCATTCAATATTTGTGGTGCCTAAGACAGCATCTCAGAGATGTATGGCTACATGTTTGCAGGGGCTGGGTCAACTGGCGCATTTCATTTTTTCAAAAAGTATATGCTCTTTGGCCATTCCATAGGTTAGTATGATAATTTTGTGCATTCATGCGACACATGATCCAAAATATTTTCACATCCATTTTGCTCGCGTTATGCAGCTCAAACATCAGTTATAATTTTTTTGCTGGTCAGTACATGCTCAAAATGTAGGATAAGATGCCAAGATGAGGTCGTACGGGGTCAACATGACACGCGGTAGGCTTATCACGTCATACATGTTTCCGAATGGCCCATCCCATAGGAATCCAATAAAATCACTTTTAATCTTGCATCGGGTCATGTTAGCTCCTAAAGAGATCAAAACCTGCTGTTTGTCAAAACCTTTCCTGACGTTTGAAAGGCATTTAATAGCCACGGGCAGGCCCGGGAGACTGATTTTCAACCTGCTGTGGAAATAGGTACCACTCAGCTCATGTGTTGTTTGAAATGCAAATTTCATAATTGGCAAAGCGGTAGAAGTTTCAATTTGCCGGCAATAAAGGAAAGCAAACTATTTCGTAACAACTAGACACTGCCCACTGCACAGATCACCTTCATTCATGCATGAATAACACACTCTAGTATGATTTCCTCAATACCAAGCGCAGCCACACAATGTCCTTATTCTAAACATCAACAACAATGGGGAGTAGGTAAAAGACCTGGTCACATCATCCTATTTGTATGCAGCATGCACGCTTCTTACCATTGGTAGCTTGTGGCTCAGATGCTTGTCCAGAATCCATACACAGCAACACAGTCTTCTGAAGTTATTCTCACTGTTAGGATCGCGGACGGCCCCCTTTCCACGCCTTCCTCTTAGGCACCTGTCTCTGACAATTTCACTGCGTGCCCTTGGCAGATCTAAGCAAAAAAATTTGAGCGCTCTAGTTATCATCAGCTTTCATGGGAATAACTAGCCTTTATGATACCTTTGATATAATTGTACTCACACAACGAGTTATCGAGCCTGGACTTCAAAGCATGTAACGGAACAGCTGAAAAAATTCCATATCTGATCACTTCCATGGAAATGATTTCTCCTTCACCACATAACGTTGCTTATGTGCACCTGCATACCTAAGGAAGATAATGTAATGATGAAAAATTGATGTGACGGGATTCGGTCTCCGACAACCATAGTATGTAATCAGATAGGATTGCAACTCAGCACTATCCATAAATATTCAGTGTTATAAGGTTTGCTAGCTGCCATTAATGCCAGGCTAATATTGCATGCCTCCAAATGCTTTCAACGAAAATGAAAAATAGAGGCTAGTTATCTGAGTAGTCTCAGTGTTAACTGAAGAGATGCATCAGCTTTACAATATCATAACAACAATATGGTATATTTTGTACCACCAGGTTCAGACATGTCTTTGCAAATGCAGCCATAGAAACACAGCACACACAGACACACATACACACACACACATACACACACACATACACACACACACACACACACACACACACACACACACACACACACACACACACACACACACACACACACACACACACACACACACACACACACACACACACACACACACACACACACACACACACACACACACACACACACACACACACACACACATACACAAACACACGCACACACACACACACACACACACACACACACACACACACACACACACACACACACACACACACACACACACACACACACACACACACACACAAGCATAGCTCAAGACAGCGGTCAAGGCACTCACAACTCGCTGCAACTAGCGGCCCAATGCCACCTTACACTCGAATCATTGAAATAGAAAACCTGCGCCTTTAACATTACCAACGGGTTTACATACGGCTACCGTACACACAAGCAGCATCGTGCGCAACACACTTCTTTAGCTTTCGTGCATAATACACAAAAGCTTTGATCACACCACAACTAAATCCAACAAGCACTGGTTCAGTCCCCCACAAAACATCAATGACGTGAACTGAGCAAAAGTAAACAACACGCAGCGACGCGAGTCAGGGTTGGTGAGATTATTTTCTCTTCCGCGCCACGCATTTGGCACTTAGCAAAAATGAACCCATCGGGATAATGAATGAAAAATGAACCTATAGCGATACACAGGAATGACAGGGAGCTGGTGTGAGTCATGCCCAGCCCGGCACTGAACCCCACCGCCGATGAACCGCCGATGAAACCCACGGAGCGGCCAGCGGCGACGAAGGTATCTAGATGCAAAAATGTGATTTAAAAAATTTACCAAATAGTTTCTTAGACAAAATTGGTAACTTGGAAAGACCTAAAACGGAGCCAGAGTTACCAGTGCATCTGCATTGTTCTAGAAAGAACAGGATGAGGGCAAACGCTGCAAAATCGATCCCTACAGGGAAAGCGACGAAACACGCCTGACCACCACAGCAGAGACGTGGAAATTCTCGATTGCTGTTTGTACGTGGCAAGTGTGCTCGAGGATATGCCAGCCTAGCTTTCTAACCACCGTCTGGAATGTCTCGGCATTTATGTGAGAACGTCCGTAAGAAGCTTGTGAAGATCTCATACCTTTGCGCTGCCATCTTCAAATGTTTGGCGCTGTGTAGGTGCTGTGTCCAGGGCGCTGGCCCCGTGCAGCCCAGCCGGCAGAGCTCGCAGTAGTACGGGCCGCGGATGCCGCCCGCTGAAGAGTGGGGAAGTGCGGACATCGCTCGACCAGAAGAGCCGCAATCCCCGGGCGGTAACCTGAGTGATGCGGTAGAGAAAGACTGGCCATAGCGGATCAGTGTCCCAAAATTATTTTTTGGTTGGGTGTGCACATGTAAAAAAACTTCAAGGGGATGTCGAAATCTGACGTAAAGATGGGCATGTTTCATAAAACCAGCAACATCATAGTTCAAACGCATCCCGCACAGTGCAAAGGACGCACCGTGACGTCCATCCATCCATCCATCATCCATCCATCCATCCAAGGCAAATATATATATATATATATATATATATATATATATATATATATATATATCTGGTATTCGATGTGCACCAAAGGCGTCTTTCCCTAGATGTAGTTGTCACTAATCCTGGATCCTTTTCCTTTCCAGACCGAAACCAAAACTCCGGCACGATGTTAAACGTCGAATCAGATTCTTCCGCTGAAAGAGACTGGCGGAATCCTGTTGACTATCTTTGAATACGTGTTATGGTACTCAATTTACATAAATGATGTCCCGAAACCGTTATCCTGTGTTTCTGCTAGGTGATTATATCCCTCTTTATATTCGTCAATGTCCCTGATAACTTGAGTGCAGGCAAAAAATGGACAAGTTGCTGACTCATGCTATCACTCATTAATCAGTCACCAAATGTCGAGGAAGACGGCACGTTTCAATTGAAGAGCACTGAACTAAGCGGCACGTTGCCAATATGACATCCTTTCTTCGAAGACAAAAGCATTACGTAAATTCGACAGATTCTAAATAATCGGCATTCTCTCCAATACCTCTTCTTCAAACGAAGATTCAGATGCATGTTCATGTCATATCCAACTACAGAACTAGATGATAAACACATCACTGCCTGGTTATGTATAAAGGTCCCAGCTATGAATATCTTAAGATTTCATTTCTGCTCTGTAAAGAGTAATTATCAACACCTCTGCGTGGCTGTTAGAGTTACCCGCAATCCACCACGTGGAGGTCGCCACGAAGGATTGCGTCTGCTATCCATAGAAAGAGCCCCTATGTAGCGCAAAGCAACGCCAGCACAGGAGAGGGAAAGATCTATCTATTTCAGTTTGACTATCACATCGGATACACGTCATGCACCTTTTCGCCGAACACAACGGCAATGCTCCTAAGGGCTGCACGAGACACAGACGAACAAGCCGAAAGGTCTCAATGACCCATGTAGTGCCGCATAACGGTTATGTATAAATGCAATGTGATGCCGTTGCTGGCCACAGTTCGTAAGTTAGTCAGTCTACCGTCGCCAACAGCCGACCCACTAGCCAAGAGATCCAAGTAACAGCATCCGAGATCGGACGGACGAGCTTAGCAAACAAACGCACACGAGTGGATGAAAACTAACAATAAACACGCACACACACACACACACACACACACACACACACACACACACACACACACACACACACACGCGCGCGCGCGCGCGCGCGCGCACACGCACACGCACACACACACACACACACACACACACACACACACACACACACACACACACACACACACACACACACACACACACACACACACACACACACACACACACGTCAGGCAGACAACACACATTTTTAATGCAATTCTTAGCATTTTTACTAGGGGCTGGATGACGTTACCACCGCGGGCGTCGCTATTCGCGGCTATCTTAAGGCAACGCATGCCGGACAGATGATCGGTGTTGTTGCTAGCAGACAGCCAGCCACGGGCGCTGCACACTGTTCACGGCTCCAACCAACAAAGGCGACGGCCCTGACACTCTTGGATGACTTTCGGAGAAAAAATGTCCAGGATGTGAAAATTCATATGCTTCAAAACGTACCACGGTCTGCACTGACTTAACTCCAAGAATACGGGGTCTTTTGTTGAGCTTCTGCACTGTGAGCGATTGACGCGCCGACACTGTTCTGACCTGAGACTGTTCGAGACTGTAAAAAAACGGAGTAGCACTGCGTTCTCAATGATCAGCACTTCCTTTTTGGCTCTGTTCTATGATTCTTCTCTCCCTTCATCAAATTTGCCCTGAAACCGCCCCTCACTGACACGTTTCGCCGTTTTTCCTACGCGCTTTGTGTCTGACTGCGACCGGGACATAAGAAGACATATCTCGGCTACCCAACAAGGTCGGGGATGTCTCGGTGGAGTCCGGTCCGAATGTCCTGAAAACTTTGCGGGACATTCTCAGGACGTCAGGACCGGACACCACTCACGCCGTCCGCCGGTGTTCAGGCCTCAGCAAAGCCGTCTGCCTTCGCCTTATACGGTCCTTCAAGAAATTTTACTGCTCTATGACACAGTCGCAGTGAGCACCTCGGCAAACGGCGCTGAAAGGGGTGGCAGGAATTGTTACTGCGCCCGCTTTCAGGCGCAGTGACGATTCACTGTTTTCACTGACGATGTCACTGAATTCACTGACGATTCAGGCGCAGTTCACTGGGTCTCAAAGTCATTGTCATGGTCCCGTCTCAGTCCATATCTCCGGGTCACACCGACGTTGGCCCCCCTGGAGGAACCAGCCGCCACGCCTGGTCCATCCTTCTCCAGGATTCCCGAAAAAGTGCCGGCTGAGATACGCCTAAGTGCCGTTTCATAGGTCTCTACCGCGCGTCTGTCCTGAAAGATGGTATACACAGCTGACTGGTCTGCCTAGTTCAGTGCGACAGCTGGCGTCATCACATCGATTACGATCAGTGATGATGTTACAAGCTCTGAACTTTCCAGAGTTTAGAGTGCTTGTCGCGCACAGTGAAGTGTTGCGCATGTCGTGAAGTACGTTCAACATCGCAGCTCGATTGTGCAGGACTTTCTTAACACCAGTAACTAAGTCCTGGACGAAGCGATTCTCAATGAGACGCTGCAAAGACAGCGCAGTTTCGTCCAGCTGAAATGATGCTCCGCGCAGCTGTCGCTTGCGGAGCGGGGACGCCTGAAATATGCCAATCACCTGCAGAAGGCCAGCCATGTACAGGTCCATGTCATCCAGGTCACTCCGCCCTCTTCCACTACTTTTGCCAATAGGGCCTCAAGTCGGTGGTCGCGGTCGTCAAGACGGACGAGGCCACGGTTGAACTTCTCTTGCCAAATTCGTTGGAAGCCGTTTTCATTTTCAGAATAGACTGCCTCGCAGTCGGAAGAGGACGAAGTGACCTGGACGACAATGTCCGCATCTGTCAAGCTGAAGTCGTCACGCAGACAGCTCGCAACGTGACAAGTCACGCCACGCCCGTCTGCTTCATGTCGGTTCTGTGTTACAACGTTTGTCCGGGTCTGTGAGGCTGTGAAATCTGACACTGGGTCGTCATAAGTCCGAATCACACCAGTTGTCCCATGCACCACCACAGGGAAGCCGTCAGAGTCCAAAGTCCTAAGGTTGCCGGCCTGTCGCTGCTTCCTAGTTCCGGTGAACTTGCCTAGAGTCACATGCACGCATCGTCGTCGTCCAATCGCTGGGTTCAGCGTTTTGATGTGCCGTGATACCTCGTCCTTAAACATGTCATAAATCGCGTCCGCAGCCCGTGCAGTAGCCGTCCCTGTCAGGTGTTTGTTAACTACGTCGAAGCCTAGCTTGTCCAGCAGAAGGTGTCGATGTGCCTGGTCCTCCTAGGAATGTGAGCGCAACACGCCGTGATACACTACGGTCATGTTCTTCTCTGTCATGTCAGTTGCCCTATTCGTCATGGCCTGGGTAGATTCCTGAATGCTCGGTACGTCCTTGGTCACGGCTTCCAGCTCACTTGCCTCCCTGTGTTGGCTATAACGCTCGTGTTTTAAAAGCCGTTGTCGTTTATGTCGGCCTAAAAGAACCCCCTTTGTCGCCCGCAGTTCAGCCCGCTTGCTCGTTTCCCTACTAAACTTGTAGCATACACTGCACCTACCGGAGTCCCCTGTCTCGGTCTTGCCAACAGTTACCCACTCAAACTTGTCCCGTGTCGAGCATGCGTTCATGTTCCAGTCATCCCACATGTCATCGATACCCTGTCGTTCTTCGTTTTCTGGCTGTACTTTACCTGCAGCCATGGACTCCACTGTATCTTTTAGATGTTTTACGGTAATTTCCAACATATTCAGTTTTGCACAAACGCCAGCATTCAGACCAAGGTAAACCATTCGTCGTGTTTAAGGCGGAACATATCGTAAATAATTTCAAAACAGATAGAATCATGCTCCTACCCTCGAATTTTAATAACTACGATAGCGAGCTCCCGAGCGCCGCACGCACCGCACCGCACAGCCTCGACTCCCAATCGCCGTTTCTGCGTTGTTGCGAAAGCACAATATTTCTGCTTATCAAGAACCATAAAACATGTACGGGACCAAGGTAACAATAATAAAGCAACCAAAATCGTTTCCTATCGAGTTTAGGTACATTTATGAAACATACAGGCCAGAATAGTCCAGGACATATCCTAACCTAACCTAACCTAACCTAACCTAACCTAACCTAACCTAACCTAACCTAACCTAACCTAACCTAACCTAACCTAACCTAACCTAACCTAACCTAACCTAACCTAACCTAACCTAACCTAACCTAACCTAACCTAACCTAACCTAACCTAACCTAACATAACCTAACCTAACCTACCCATCCTATCCCCTTCAAGCCAGTGTTCCATTGGCGTCCATGTTTCGTGCCATACCTATGTACCGTATTAAGAAGCCTTGTTTAGCCGCAATGCTCTCATTTTGCCTTTCATTCCCCACCCAAAGGCGTCATATTTGCCCCCCCCCCCACATCGACCAATCTATAAACAGTACGGAAGGCTGCTTGGATACGCAAGAGACATATTTCATTGGATTCTTGTTATCATGACCCCGGAGAATTTGTATGGTTCTTGATGAGCAGTAATATTGTGACCACACGTAGCAATGCCGCCGGGGTCGCGGTTGCTGTGTGTTTGCAGCGCTCGGATGTTCGCCATCGTAGTTATTTAAGTTCCCAGGTAAGAGTTTATATGAACTGTTTTACGGTTATTTACGGTATGCTCTGCCTTTGAAACGACGATTGGT